ACCCTTGAGCAATCTTGAGCAATTTGAAGATCATTCTTGACAAATCTTGAGGAATATGGGAGGGAAAATTTTGGGGTACAACAGACCCCGAGTTTGTTTCTATCAAATTTCTAGGCCTTGAATTATCAAAATTTTCAAGAAAATCATTCACAAGGGAAAAATGTCATTTGCACACTGAGAAGTCTAACTTTGACTTTTGAATCAAAAATCAAATCTCAAAAATCATATTTCATCAAGACATGTTGGAATATGAAGTTTGTTTCATCAAGAATTTCAAAAGTCAATTTTTACTTTGGAAATGTCAAATTCTAAATACTTAGACATTTTTCTAAGTGTTTAAGAAATATGACAATTTCAGAACTTCTGACCAGATTATCACCATAACGCTCTGCAAATTCTAGATATTCTCAAGACAGAGTTTGGTAATAAATTATGGGCAAGTTTTCACAAAAGCTCAATCAGAGTTTGCCAGGGTAATTCAAAGAAGGTTAAGAAGCGTGTTGCAAGCTTTCTAGAAAATCTGAAAGCTCCTTCAGAACATGCTGGAGCCAGAAGATAAGAGGATTAGAAGATTGGATGCTATGCTGAAGCAGAACTTCTAATCCAGAGTTAAGCAAGGATGCAGAGTTTCACATGGTAGGATTTCTGATTTGATAAATCTCATCATCATTTAATGCTCATTTAATGCTCACAACCACTTTTGAGTTTTTATCCAAAGGATTTTCCCCACGTGTACCCCTACTGTCTTGGGAAGATAAACTTTTGTGCAAAAGTATGCTAGGCCCATGCGCTGCTTCTACTTTTCCTTAATTCATGCTGACAAATCCAACTTAGGCGTTGTTAACCATCCTACTTGGTGCATTGAACCATGCTTGTTTAAAGCTTGCTTCAAGAGTAAGTCAGCTTCTAGCATATGACGTTGGCGCCACTTGACCTCTCCAAACTACAAAACCTTTGCCTATAAATAGAACTCCATTGGCCACTGAGAAGAGGTCGGAAAATTTGAGAAAGAGGTCGGAAAACGTGAGAAAGAAAAGCCTTGAACCCCTGCAAAAATTCCAAGAGTCCAAAAAGATTGCAAACACAAAAATACAAAACCTTAGCATTTGATTCTTGCATTAAAACTCGATTTTTCCTCAAGTGTTTTTTGACCTAAACCACCCATACAGTTTTTGATATACATTCAAAAACCATCCTAACTTCTGTAACCAAGCTGTAATACCCTCTCCATCAATATCCACCTCAAAGCGTCAGAACTCCATCCTTTGGTTGTTCCAGAATTTTCTAATCTTTTACAGGCCAAGTTGGAAGTTTCCAGCCTGCTGAGCACGTGAGGAAGTTGTTCAGAATATTACAAGTGGTCAGAACTAGGTTCCAGTTCCTATAGTATTTTCCAGCTGCAAGGTAAGTTTTTGCTGACTCTCATCATATTATTTAGGCATTGTCAGGTTTTGCATATTTAACATAATGTAGATATTCTGATTTTGATGATGTACATATTCTGAGATTTCATGCATCTGCCTGCCTAAATAGAGGGAATTCCAGTTCAGAGTTTCATAAAGAAATTAGAACTCAGAATTAGGATTAACAAATTCATGTTTGCTTCTGATTTATATTTCTGATATTTCTTGCTTCTGAAACATCATGAAACTTGTCATAACTGTTATGTGTGCAACTCTTGTTCTGTTAAGAAATGACTAAGTTGCAGATGTTCTGACAAGCATGGAGAAGGGAGATAAAGTTCTGCCGGTTGCATCAGAACTTCTGAAAACTTCTGAGTTCTCAGAAGATCCAGAACTTCTAAACTTCCCTATTCCTATTAACGTTTGTTTCTGTTTGTGCAACACGTCAGAGTCAGAACTTCTGACCTCTTCTGTTTCAGCATTTGCGTTGATTCTGTTTTCTTCTCTTTTATTATCTTTTCCATCACTTTTATTTTTCATCAATAAAAAAAACACCAAAAATATTTCATATTCACATATTATATTTTATTTCCTTTTAACATAAAAAGACAAACAAATATTTTCTTAAACAAATTTATTCCTTTTCTTAAATGAGACAAACATTTTACATTTCCTGTACATTCTTATCCATTCAATATGGTTGTAATAGTAACTTAGAATTTAATTTTCAATCCCCATTTGAAAATTTGTACACCCCATCCCCCTAATGATTGTAATAGCGTAGAATCTTTATTTTCCGCACTTTTATTGCTTTCATATATTGTTAGTAATTAGGGTGTGTATGGCAAGACTAAAACCAATGTTTAGAAAACTCTAATTCAAGACAAATTATGCATGCAATCAAATACACTCGCACACTAGCACCCCTAAGGTTATTCGACTTGTTGCCTTACAAAAATGACCATGTTATGCATGTGGGATGTCTTAGCATAAACAAATCAAAATACAAGATCATAGTCCCTCGATGACGCTATCAAAGTTGCCTTTCGAAATGATCTTAGTCCCTAAAGAAAAAATGCTAAGTCATCTCACAACATTGCTATCATGGTTATACAATGACCCGTGCCCGTCCCTTCACATCCTATGATGGGACTTCTTACCAAAATAATGGTAAGATAGCAACATCTAAAGGAGGAGGAAAAGAACATCTAAGATCTTTTGAGTAGGTAGATTGCTCCTAGTTGTTTGCTCAATTTCAAAATAAACATCCTTGCTATTTTCAAAAAACAATCACATACACTTTCAAAACATCTTCAAAACATTTTCCAAACATTGAAAATATTTTCAAAAGATCAACATTTTGTATACATTTTTACGAACGAGAACTATTACAAAGTTTGCCTAAATGAGGGCGCCTTTTCAAAATACTTTCAAAAACCACACAAAACACATTTTTCAAATAAAAGCAAGTGATCTAGCAAGTAACTAAGAGCCTATGGAAAACCATGGATGAAAAGGGTGCTAATACCTTCTCTTTTCATAATCTACCCCCCGAACTCAAGAAAACATCTCTAAAGGTCTTTCCTGTGCTTTTTCACCTTTCCTTTTTGGATAAAAGAAAAGTCGGTGGTGACTCTTGCTAAACCGTAATATTTGTGATAAAATGCAAAACTCCAAGTCAGTTCTCCCACCGTATCACAGAAGCGCTGGTATTTCCTCCCACATGAGGGTGAACTTGTTGCGCATCACTAGTGGGTGGGTTAGCCATTCCCCTAATGTATTGTCCTTTTGGTCTAGGATTTGTATTGTTGGCTAGTTTTCCACTTCTCAATCTCATGCAATAAACAAGTTAAAATTAAGATGGATAAAGACACAGGTCCCACTGGGCGTGCCAATTTGTTTACCTTCGAATTTTGGTAAACAACCGCTGATCTTCCAAATCCTTTCATGGATCCAGTTACTTGCGAGATCGATCAGATTGATCTCAGGACACGAGTGTCTTTATTAATCTTTTAACTTAATTGTTGTATTTAACATGTTTTGTATATGAAGACAAATGGCTTCAAATGTCGAATTAAAATGCATATAAAGTGAAAGTAAAATTACTTCTAAATTTGAAATGGTAAAAGACTTAAGTAAATGTTACTGGAAATTCTGCAGAAAGTAAATGCATTTATATTAAATGGGTGTATCATACGTACATCCTCAATAAACTCGTTTCTCTTTAACACTTGGTACTTTGAGTAATTTCTGAGTAATTTGTACAAAGATGTTCACCACCTAAATCGAAATACTAAAGCCACTACGAACTAATGCCACGTTTCTGTTTGCATGTCTTCGACGAACTCAGAGCCTTCCACGCGTCTTTTCGGATAAGATCAAAATATTTGAATTCGAATCTCCTTCTTATCTTGAGCACCAACCTCTGAAGGCGGTCGAACGAAAAAATGTTTGAAACTTTAGCCACATTTCGAATAACAATCTTTATTCAATAATTCGAATTGGTAAACCTTTCCAACGAATTTTACTCAATTCGAATCTCAACCTTTATGGCTTCACATAAATAAAGTAGTGGAATATTCTGAAGTATATTCAAGTCTAACTTTAAAATCCTTAGTCGAAATTTTCAGCTAACAAATATAAATATAGAAGACTGGAGCACTTGAATTAAGATGGTGTGTTAAGTGTAAAACACTAATTCAAATGCTATAATCGATTATTGCAGGGCTGTAATCGGTTACAAGTACGTGAAAAAGTCAAATAAGCTGAAAATAAGTGATTTTATCATAACCAATTACGCATTCAAAGTAACCGATTACCACAATTAGTATTTTCAATTTTATAGCAATTGTAAACCGTTACAAGTTTTATGTAACCGGTTACATGTACGGAAATTTTGTTTTTTTTGTTATTTAATTTGTTGCTCGTATCTCAATCCATATTGTAAATTATATAAATAACTTGGAAATATCAACATAATTATTAATAAAAATTTATATTCTCACCTTCAATTATATTCTCTCTACATATGTATCTCTCTCATTCTCCACATAGAAACCCTCCAAATTTATCAACCAAGTGATTCCAAATTCTAACAATTTTAACATGTAATCTATAATAATCGATCGACAATTCACACTATACAAAATATACATCATATTAAAATTTAAATTTACAAGACATACACTCTTATTGGCTAAAAGTATTGTACTATCTTTTCAACAATAATTACACAATTAACGAAAACTAAACCAAATTGAAAACCAAGGTGTGTAACTAGATTAAGCATTAATTAATAGTAAAGTCTTTTAATTAGTTTTTGGTACTTTCCCACATGCAAGGAAGGAAACTGTGTCGCGCGTGACTAATTCCCTCAAACACAAAAAAAAAAAACCTCTCTTTATTCATTTTCCTTTCATCTCCTCTCCATTCGCATTCCCTTTCTCCACAACGCATTCTAATCTCTCCCCTTCCCTCTTCATCTTTTGCATGTTCTCGGAGCTCCGGCTCCATTAACGGAGCCCCGGCTCAAATACCAACTTTCGTTAACAAAATAACATCCAATCTCCATTCTCTCTGTTTTATCGAGATCTCAAAATGTCGAAACCCTGGGGGAATATCGGAGCTTGGGCCGCCGATTCCGAGCGCGCCGAAGCCGAAGAACGCGAAGCCGCTGCTGAGGCTGCCACTGCCGGGTCGGCTAACTTCCCGAGTCTCAGGGAAGCCGTGACTGCTAAGCCGAAGAAGAATAAGAAGATGTCGCTTTCTGAGTTCACCGGAGGCGGTTACGCTTCCGGTGGTAGTGCCGCTGCTTATCCTCGTTTGACGCAGGATGAGATGCTTCGTCTTCCGACCGGGCCTAAGGAACGTTCCGCTGAGGAAATGCAGTTTAACCGTCTCGGTGGTGGTTTCTCCTCTTTTGATCGTTCGGGCCGTGGTCGAGATCGTGAGGGAGGCTCTGGAGATGCTTCGTGGGGTGCTGGGAGAAGATCTTATGGTGGATTTGATGATGAACGCAGGGCACCGAGTTCTAGGGTTTCGGAAATGGATCAACATTCGAGGGCTGACGAGGTGGATAATTGGGCTTCGGTGAAAAAGCCACTTCCCTCATTTGATTCAGGCCGGCAAAATCGATACGGTGGTGGCAGTGGTGGTGGTGGTGGTGGCAGTGGTGGTGGTGGTGGTGGAGGTGGTTTTGGTGGTGAATCTAAGGCTGATGGAGTGGACAATTGGGCGGTTGGTAAAAAGCCTATTCCTGTCAGGTCTTCTGATTATCGTGATTCTGGCATGAATACAGATCGCTGGTCCAGGGGTTCTGCTGTGGAACCAGATCGCTGGTCCAGGGGTTCTGCTGTGGAACCAGATCGCTGGTCCAGGGGAGCACCGCGTGATATGGAGCAGCAGCGGCCAAGGTTGGTGTTGGATCCAAAGAAAGGTGATGGTTCTGTGAATGAGGCTCCTGTGAAGACAAATAAGCCGAATCCATTCGGTGCGGCAAGACCTAGGGAGGAAGTGTTGGCTGAGAAAGGATATGATTGGAAGAAGCTCGATTCTGAGATTGAGGCAAAGAAGACGAGTAGGCCTTCGAGTTCACATTCCAGCAGACCTTCAAGTGCTCAGTCAAATCGCTCTGAAGGTCCAGACGCAGCGCTGAAGCCGAGGCCAAAGGTTAATCCCTTTGGAGATGCCAAGCCAAGAGAGGTTTTGCTTAGCGAGCGTGGCAAGGATTGGAGGAAGATTGATCTTGAATTGGAGCATCGCGCCGTTGATAGGTTTCTTCTGATCTTATGTTTTTTTTTTTCATTCTTCTTTGCGCTGTTATTTGAATCAGAAATGTGTAAGTTCCTTTTGTGGCAAATTGTTGTGGGGTGTTCTATTAAATAGAGTCATAGTAGCATTAATAGTGTAGGTGAATCAGATGGGTAAAACTGATCATATTGTTGGTTTGCTAATGTGGTAAGTTTATAATGGGAATAAGAGATGGGCATGCGTTTATCAGATTCATTATTTGTGATGGTTTAATATTTTGTCAGGGACATGTAGATTGGACGTGGTTATATTCCTAGCTAAGTAAATGGTTCCTGTGTGTATCCTAGATTAATTGTGGATGTGACATTGTGATTAGAAGAAAAAAAGAAGCTTTTGGTGTAATTGATTGCTATAATTAAGAGGTTTCCACCTTTTTTGCCATCAAACACTAGTACTGTTGCGTCTCTTTTTGCAACTCTCACAATATGTTGATATATATTGGATATGGAAGTCAGTTGCTTTTTTCATTCATTTTGGAGATAGGTTGATTGGGTACTTTAACCAATTATTTTGTAGTCTTTTTCACTTCTTTAGTATCTGAGCAATTTCGACTCGACAGTGATGTTAAAGGTGGTGGAAGAAAGTAATGGCTCATTATGAACAAAAGTGGTCATGTTAGGATAATTTAGTTGAAGATAGGGAAAAATCAAATATACAAACATCTTTGGGTTGAATAGGCAAGAGAATGAAAGCCAGGGTTAACCATGCACGCTTAGGGTATTTTAAAATATATTTATTGATTTGCTTTATGGTAATTTCATGGCATTCATGATGAAGTGGAAGTCATGTTAGTATGTTATGAGCCTTAGCTGGAGTCCTAGATTACTCATTTGTTGTCAAATTCTATTCTAAATTGAAAAGGGTTTCTAATGCATAAAGTGATACTACATACAATTTTCATTGAAACAAATATGGCTGTTCAATTTAAATTTCTTTCATTGAATGAATCATTAAGCTAGTTGGTCAAAAAACATATGCAATCGCTCCTTATTGCTCTAAACTAGTAGGACAGCTTGTTAAGGTAGACCATAGCTATTTTATATTGAGTGGAATAATTCTAAAGCAACATGAAAATTTGAGGGCAATTTTTCATTTCAAATAGTGCAGAGTAATTATATTATGGTGATTTATGGGGCTACCTATTGTTGTTGTGGTTAGATTTTATGATAGAGATAAAGTCTTATTATAGGTTTATAGTCGGTAATACGAGTCTCCTAGAAGATTGCATGTGTTCTAGTCAAGTGTTGTTATGGGGTTAACATATATTGTTAGTGTTCCAATATCTTAGTGTGCAGGTTTATCTTAGTGGTTGGGTTAGACAACACACCTATTGAAGTGTGGAAATTTTTTGGAGATAAAGATGTTGAGTTGCCTAACTCTAATGAGATAACGAGGTCAAAGAAAATGCCGGATGAATGAAGAGGAAGCGCTCTATTTCCAATCTATAAGAGTTAGGAGGATTATACAAAATTGTGAAAATTATAGGGGGATTAAATTTATGAGTTATACCATGAACTAATGGAAAAAGTGATTGAACGGAGACTATGAAAAGAGACTCAAGTAAGTAGTTGAGAATCAATTTGGTTTTATGCCTGAAAGAATGACCATAGAAGCGATCTATTTCCAATCGATGCGGCTGGGGGTTAAACAACACACCTATTGAAGTGTGGAAACTTTTTGCAGATAAAGATGTTGAGTTACCAAAGTCTAATGAAATAACGAGGTCAGAGAAAATGCCGGATGAATGAAGAAGAAGCACTTTATTTTCAATCTATAAGAGCAAAGGGGGATATACAAAATTGTGCAAATTATAGGGGGATTAAACTTATGAGTTATACCATGAACTAATGGGAAAAGTGATTGAAAGAAGACTATGAAAAGAGACTCAAGTAAGTAACTGAGAATCAATTTGGTTTTGTGCCTGAAAGAATGACCATGGAAGCGATCTATCTGCTACGACTTGTGATGGAGCAATATCAGATAGATCAACGAGACTTGCACTTAATTTTTATTGACTTGGAGAAAGCGTATGATAGAGTGCCTAGAGAGATTTTGTGGAAAGACCTTGAGAAGAAAAGAGTTAGGATTGCATATATTCGAGCTATTTAAGATATGTATGAAGTAATATCGAGTAGTTTGCAGACACAAGGTGGAAAGACAAACGATTTTTCCGTTACAATAGGTCTGCATCAAGGTTTAACCTTAAACCTCTACCTTTTTATCTTAATTTTGGATGTATTCACCGAACACATCCAAGAGTTAGCATTGAGATGCTTGTTTTTTGCAAATGATATAGTCCTACTTGGAGAGTCGAAGGTGGATTTAAATGAGAGGTTGGAGACGAGCTTTAGTAACACATGATTTTTCGCTTAAGCAGAAGAAACACATGATTTTTCAAAAATAGTGTAACAGTTCGTTTCTTTAATAAATGGTTTGGTTTGGGAAAAATTGACTTCTAATTCGGTATAGTTCAGAATTTCGAAATGGTATACCAAACCAATAATTTGGGTTCGGTTCGGTTCCGAGTAAATTGAATCAGTTCGGTTCAGTTCGGGTGCATTTTTACAATGATTTTGGTTCGGTTCGATTCAGTTTTCTCCCTGAACTATACCATCAACAGTCCTAGAAGAAGATGTAAATCAACGAATTCAAGTTGGGTGGTATAGGACATGAAGTACTCAGGAGAAGAGACTTATGGTATTCAGTTTGGTAGATATAGGACATAAAGTACTCAGGAGAAGAGACTTATGGTATTCAGTTTGGTAGATATAGGACATAAAGTACTCAGGCGAAGAGACTTTTATGGTATTCAGTTTGGTTGACAATGGGTTTTGGTGGGAATGTTCTCACTAAAACTACTATTCATTCTTCCGTTTTGTGACCTGGATTTACTTTTGTTCGGTACTAAAGATGACTTCATCTATAAGATCCTATATTTTCTTTACTTCATCTATAAGGCCTATGATTATTTATTTCCTGGAAGAATCGACATGACAAAAAAATTGATGTTTTTAATTCAGTTCCTTTCACTTTCTCTATTCAGTTTTCACCTTGTTTCGGCTGTGTGGTTGTTAATCTTTGGCTCAATCTGTTTTGCTCTGTCCTGAGATGCTATTTGAGGCTTTGTGGTAGTTTAGGGGATTTGATTTTGCTATGCTTAGCTGCTAAGGGATTTTAGATTGGAGTGGAGATTTTGGCACAGTGGGCGGTAAAGGGACTAATTCAATGCTTAGAAATCAGTTACTTGACGGTAAGGGGACTCCAAAGGAGAAAATTCAAATGCTTCTAGCAGCTATCTAAATGGAACTGGATGTGTGTTTTGATATGTAAGGGGAGTAATAGTAGCCTTAAATACTTCGGTTGAGGTGGGTTATTTGTAATCCATAGCGGTGCTGCAGCCAAATAGAGGCCAATTACTTTGTAGTCTATAGTGATTGCTATGTTGGCATAGCGTAGTATAACGTCCTGTTTGTGCTACATGAAACCCCCACCGCGTTGTGTTTTTGAGTACCAAATGAATAGTAGCTGCTACACTAAAGGATCCTGTAAAAAGAACCCAATATGCCCTCAATCTAACTGTCAGTCCCTCGGTTATTATTATTTGGTCATTTCACTATTACACTAATATGCTTCATATTGTGTGAGAATATTGGTAAGAACGAACTTTGATTATTAGTTATGAATGTCTTTATTTGTGTATTATTTTATTTTAAAGCTTTTATGTGTATGGATGCTATGATATAATGTTTCCCCTAAACATCAATGTAAGCATGTAACGGCCATACTGCCACCTGCTATCCACCATTGACTACATAGATTTGTTTGATGTTTGTGGGGTTTTCTATTTGAAATAGCTTAAGTCTGAAGGGAAAAAAAATACATCATTAGGGTTTTAGTGTTAGTTGCCTTGGGCTTGTTATAGCAGTACTTACTTTTTACCTAATTTTTAGTATATCATCAGCAGTCTTTCTTTTAATTTTCCCAGCATGTGGATTGCTAATAGTTTTATTCAAGTATTTTGAAAATATAGTTTGGTTTTGATCAAACTCTTGCTATATAAATGTAAACTTGTTCTTGTTTATGTTGTTCATTTTTCTTGATTGTGCACAACATTACACCATAATTTGGTTTAATCACTTAGGTTTTACTTAATTTTTAAGTTGTCGATCTTTCAAATATCCACATTACCTTGTTGACTTCTGAATTTATCATTTCAGGCTTGAGACCGTTGAGGAAAAATTATTAAAAGAAGAAATTGATAATTTGAAGAAGGAAATTGAGAAGGAGTCTTCAATAAGTTCAAATAAGGAAGTGGATGATGCTGCTGGAGGCCAAACTGGTACACGGGCAATGCTACTAGAGAAAGAAAAGGAGCTGGAACTACTTATCCGTGATTTGGATGATAAAGTTCGTTTTGGGCAGAAAGCTGTGGAAAGGCCAGGTTCGTCATCAGGAAAGTCTGCTGGTTTTCCTGATCGGCCACCATCTCGTTCTGGCTCATTTGAGGATTCTAGAAGTGTGGATTTTTCGGACCGACCCCGTTCCCGTGGCACAGGAGATATGTCGATGCGTCCTACCGATGACAGAAGACAATTTCAGGGTAGCAAGGACAGGGGGTGGTTTTCAAACAGCAGTGACTTGAATAAGTGAGATTTCGCTTTTACACTGTTGTCTCTTTTTCTGTGTATTTTTCTTGACTTGTCATTTATGGTAAAACTCTCCATATATAGGCTTTGATCTGTAAATGCTTGTATTTTCTGTTTTGCAGGCCACGGTCCAGAGACAGATGGTGAACATGATGAGTTTTTTTGTGGATTAAGAGTTATCTTCAACCTTTGATGACCAGAACCTAATTCTATTTTATTACTAGCATTTTCTAATCGTTTTGTTCAATTTACTCCAGGAATTGGAGCAACAATCATTGAGTACTGGCAGTAAAACTTTTGCCTACTATTATTGCATCTCAAAACATTGTAAATTTGATTTTTCCTTTCTGGTAATTTTTTGGGTGTCTGGATGAAGGCAGAAAGCCTGTAATTTTATTAGGACAAAAATTTATTGGAACAAAATTTTTATTGGAGATTATTGAACTTCTTAGTTAATTGTCCCCCTGTTTTGCATCTGTGCCAATTGACCTTAGACATTTGTAGTCTTGGTTACTTTTACCTTAACACTTGAACATTCGTGTTTTCTCCCTCTCATCCCTTTAAAATAAAAGTTATTGCCTCCTTTTTCTTCTACATCGCTACAATTACTGTGAGATTGGTGTCAGCCTGCAATGATATTTTGGTTTGCCAAGAAATATGGTTGGAAGGGGAAAATAAATGTCAACGTATTTTGTTAGTTAGGGGGTGATCTAAAAAGTATATTTTTTAACTTTTTTTCATTATATATGAAATGATTGTCCGTGTGTACAGGGTATGAATGAAGGAAAAGTAATTTAAAAATGTTTTATTTTTCTGACAATATGTTTGGAAGGCTATTAAGGTAAAAGTGTTGTTAATGAGTTAAGAGACATACTTTCTTCATTTTCTCATGCTTTCTATCTTCAAGTTATTTCTCCTCATCTGGGGGTCAACACATCACCTGATGCAATATAATTAACAATATAATTAAGTGGTTTATAATCATGGATTTATCAATCTTTAACAAGTTACTCAACACAGCCACATAGAGAAAAAATAAATTCTCTATACTCCTTCTGAATCATAAGGTACATATTGCAGACTTCATCAACATATTAGACAAATACTTAGTTCCCGTCAAAGTATTCACCATCAGTCTTAGCACAACGTCATCAGAGAACATATAAATATTCAACTCCCGTCAAAGTATTTATCATAAGTAAGATAAGATTACCTTCTCACATAAGGTAGAACATTCGATCTGACATTCTTCTTTTGCACATCTCTAGACCCAGCTGATTCTTCATGACTATCGATCATGACATCCATCCATGCCACAAATCACCCTAGATTAGGACAGTGACTTGACCTTATACTCCACTATGCATGAATCAAGCTTCTTTGGTTGAAGAAGCAAGTCCTTGAGATGATGTTCCAACATCAATTCTGACATTTATCTCAATCACATGGATTTCCCCCTTAATTATGGTCTGGAGACACCATAGTAGTCCACAACTCTTGCAAGGGACACAAGAGGATCAACCATTAGTAGTTGTTTAACCTTCAAACTCGGACCAAAATACATGTAGAGCATGCACACCTCTAAAAGCTTCTTCTTACGCACAATATCCATACCTCCCGTCTGACTTTGAGGTGTTAGATGTCATTCTTCTGTATCTAAAGAGGAGATTCCCTCTAACAGGTATTTGGAGCATATTTCAACAAACATGGCCATAAACAGATTGTTCAGGCTAAATCTGCTTCTCCCAATTCTTCAAAACACAAAGATGCCATTCAATCCTTACAAAGACAAATGTTCCATCATATGAGGACACCACATAACTGAACCCATGATTGAGGAGAAACTTTCCAAACAGTAAGAACCACAACCCTTTGGTTCCAAAACAAACTCCTCCTCCTTACTCCAGACAAAAATCTGAAATTCTCCTCCTAGGTTATTCAGATGACACTCCAATAGTGCAGACACCAATCAACCACAAAATTTTGGTTGATACATCTCCAATGCACACAACCCTTGCAAGACCTTTCCACAACAACATAAAAAGAGTCATGTTCTCATAGACTTGATAAGTGATATCAAGTTTGAGTAAACAACCTTTATCCTGTTAATGAGAAACACAACCAATCATATTGAGAAAAATAAATTCTCAATACAAGGATGTCAAGACATTAAATCTGACATTTCTTCAAGAATCTCCGACTCTAAATTAGAGATTCTTCTTCACCAACTGCTAGGAACACCATGAGATTTAAACATTCTCATCCTTTAATAGCAGCACAATATGTGGTTAGCGAGGGGAAGGTATTAGCACCCTTCACGCTCGTGGTACTTCACGGGATTCACTCTTGTTGTTCTAATCAAAGAGTGTGTTATATCAAATGCTTACTTGCTAAGGGAATACATGCATGAAAAAAAAAGAAACAATGTAGGGAAAACAAAAGTTTTAAATAGTTGTGCTCGCTTAGGCCCTGCAACCTAATGTCTACGTATCCTTTTTAAGGAATCAGAGCATTGTAGTTCGGCTCAAAAGTTTTTGTTTGTGGTGTATTTTTTATGGGTGATGAACCCTTTTGAAAAGGTTTTTACTTACGCCCTCAAGGCAAGGTGTCACATTTAATTTGTTTGTGTTTTGTTAGGAGAATACTTCAGATGGTCCTCCAAGACTGGGGGTATTTGAGTACTTCCCATTTATTTGTGAAAGTGTTTGAGATACGTACAATACTAAAGTTTATGACATGAGAGACTTTTGGATGATCGAGCCAGGCGTCTAGTATTCAAAGTAGTCCACACATGCTTAAGATTTGTGACGTATTTGTACGCATCATATTTTTTAGGTGTTTTTGAATTAGTTTAAGAAAATGATTTTAGTTTTAAGGATGCAAAAGGGGAACAAAAAATCTAAGAAAATTTATATTTCTAATATTGACATGAAATGGTGGCCCTAAGATTGATTTTGAAGGAAAATTCTAATTACGATCATCAGACATGGTTTACAACCTAAAGTCTATTTAATTCAATTTAACCAAAAAATTAAAATTGAACTAAAATTATCACATTTTTGTCATAATTTTATTATCAAAGAGAAATAAAAATCATGTAAAATTGCAAAAGAAAATATTTAAAAATGAAAGCAAAAGCAAAAGAAATAAGAAGAGAAGAGTGAAGCAAGGAGGTGCAAAAACTGAAGCTGGACGTCTGGATCAGTAAGGCACTAAGGCCCACAAACTATGGTCCAGAAGCGGCTATTTTTTTGTTGAAAGGCAATTGGCTTTTAAAAAAAAGTTCTAACAATCCTGAAGGGTGGAAAAAAGAAAGCCCATCGAATGGCTTAGGTCCAAATACCTCTTCACAAACACCACCAGATTTCATCTCTTCAGCCTTGAATTATCACTATTATCATTAAAAGAAATTAAAAAAAATTGAAAACAAGAAAAAGAGATAGAAACGGTGTTGTTTTAGGGTTATTGTGTGACGATTCAACTTCTCAAAACAGAATCATCTCACGCGCGTTGCTACTTCTTCGTTCTCAGCTCTCTGTTTTCACATCACCGCCGTAGTTCTACTCAACTCGCCACTGTATGCGCTCGATTCCCCTCTGTTCTGTCTTCATCTTCGTCATCATCAGCGCCTAGCTTCTGATCTCACTCTTGTTCGCGAGTTTGTCTTCCTCCCTTCTTCTGATTCCCTTCGCCGTTCCGCCATAACCACCACAAAGGACCTCGTTTCAACTTTGTCTCTTCTGTTTGATTGCACAAGTCTCAGCAATCTCTGTCTCATCCGTTTCCGATTCGTTTGCGCTCTCCTAAACTTACATCATTTTCTATAAATCGAACTAAACGCTTACGAATCTGGCTACAACATCAAAAGAAGGAAGAAGAAACGCACACGAGGCAAGTATTAACAGAAGAATAGAGCACCGATCAAAAGGTTTAATGAGCATACCGATCAGAGTCTGTCTGATGCAGATTCAACGACGATGATGAGAGAAAACCAGAGAGAGCTTCCAAAATCAGGTATGCATTCTCTCCGATTCTTGCTATTACGTTATTCCTCGCTCGTTCTCCTTCTTCTTCTGTATCTTTTGCTCTGTGTGAAGCGTGCATGTTATGGTGGTTTTGTTGTTGTTGCAGTAGAGATGAAGATGAAGTTGTTGATGCTGTTGAATGGTGATGAAGGTTCAGAGAGAGTGAGGTGGTTGGTGGAGAAGGTTGAAGGTTGTGGAGAAGATGAAGTCGCAGGTTCAATTGTGATGTGAGGAAGATGGAGAGAAGATGAAGATCAAGAGGGATAAGTGAAGGTGATGTTGTTGATGAGAAGTGAAGAGAACTCAGAGAGTTCAGAGAATGCAGAGAGATATTTCAGATTTTTTTCTGGTGATTTGTGTGAAATGAATAGTGAATGAAGAATGAATGAGGGAGATGAGTTTTTATAGGTTGTTTGAGTGGAGGAAGTTGGTTACAGATGCAATGAATCAGAGCCATTGGATTGGGAGTTAGTTACAAGCTTGAATGGTGAAGATTCATCTGAAAAGTCTGTTATGAGGTTGGTTATTCATTTGTGAAGTTTTGATTGATTTTTTTGTTTAATCTCATTTCTGATTTTCATGTGTTTTATGCCTTGAGCTTCTGCGTTTGATGTTCCTGATTTTCTGAGTCTTTGCAGACTGTCTCAATTTTAATGACCTGGAAAGTTGCTTGGCTAATTTATGCAGAACCATACGCGCTTGAATCCACTTTTTCATTTGTTTTCGTTGTTTATGTTTTTTCTTATTCTGACGCAATTGTGCAAAATATTGCAGCCGATATCAAACCATTTTTTGGGCCCAGCTTTGAAGCTACAGCCGAGCTAATGTCAAACAAAAGGTAGTATGTGATTTTTGTGCATGCTTTGCAAGGTACAAAGCCAGATGTAACCGGTTTTGGTTAAGTTTTGGCAGGTTGTTTTAACTGGTTTTATGAACTAGATTTAACTTCATGATTTTTCTGTGGTTAATATGCAGAGCACGATTGGTTTCAAGTTTTGAAACAAGTTTATGTTTGGAAAAGGTTTGGTTTTGGATGCAGGGCAAGACTTGGGGTGGAAAGCAAGAACAATTCAAGACGGATTTATGGAGTATTCAAGACGCAAAAGTGAATGAAGGCATAGAAAATTTGAGGGAATAGGTCTGAATGTAGATTTAGGTTCTTATGTTTTGCGTGAACTTGTTCATAGATTATAATTTAATGGTTTTAGAATTAAATGGAGAGAAAATTTGGTATGAATATACTTAGATGGCTTCATGGAAAGACTCGTACAAAGTTGTAATGGCATTTTGTACCATAGCTTGTAATGAATGGCTATTGACATGAGATTGATGTAATGAGATTGATCTTGCAATTGTCATGACCCTCCTCAAACAAATTTAAGTTCCTCTCTAATTTTGTAATCTCTCTTGGATATGAGTCGATATAACTCACACCTCAAATAACATTTTTAAGTGTTCCCCCTACTTTTGTAATGTGGAATCTTGATCCTTTGAATGTTTTTTATGCTTGTTTCATTTTGATATTTTATAAGAATTTGGTCTTTTATAATAACTTGAACTGAATGGCATGTCATGCTTGACTATTATCACAACCATAATTCCCTGTTTGAATTCCCTATCCTCAATGCCCTTAGTTCACACTATAACTTGTACTTCAATCAATGAAGGAGATCCTTTGAACGACGAGGTTCATTAATGAACCACACTCCATGAAAACTTCTGGATCACCACCTATCTTAAGGAAATAAACCCTAACTTCAGTGGTAGTTGCGAACGTAAGAGAATGATTCTCAAGAATTTTTGTGTCCAACCCAAATCCATTAGAAATAAGTCATGTTGAAACCTTTGCATCACAAGTGACGATGGATTACACACCACATATAATAACCCAAACAAATGAATACCCTAAGAGGAAACCCATGAGGAATGTATGACTAAAGACTTGAGGTGTATCTGATAACCATAAACACATAAAGGAAAATCCTAATTCCACAGTTCACACTTCGAATAAAACCATAGAAATCAGACTTATTTGATGAAGAAGTTTCAAACCAACAAGAAACCCTAGCTTGCAAGTTTCTTGATCCCATACCAAATTATTGGTTAATGATGCATGATGTGTTAGATGACCTAATAGAGAATAATGCATACAAATAAGAATGAAATACATAAGCCATATAAAAGTGAAAGGGTAGGACAAATTTTAGGTATGACAACTCTATCCTTTCTTCAATATTCTGTCAGGTAAACAACAAATTTCTTGAAAAATATATCAACCACACACTAAAGTGCCTTTATGAGTGGACTTGAGAAATGAAAATTAAGTATCGTTGGCAACTTTACACAAATGGTTGAAAAAGTCTTGCACATATCCTATCACCATAGGATAAACCTGCTGAGGAGGCCAAACCCTAATGTCATGCCAACCAGGGTTACAACAGATACCATGCAGCGAAAAAATACATCAAACGCTCCTCAACATCCATCAGACACAACATAAAACCTTTCACACCACCACCAGAGTCCAAGTGCAAACAAAATAACTTAGGTTTGAAAATAAATTAAACCTCAACACACTAGCTCATCACCAAAGCTACATGCCTGATAACATCACAGACAGGTCCAATACACACCTTGTCATGAACAGTTCATCCTCCACTTCAAGGGACCATTCAAACAACAATGTGAACTTATCCAAGTTCAAACATAATTTCGTTATATACCTCTTTCCTTGCCCATGACCAGAAAGTATCATCCCTAGGATCTCACCCAGAAACAGAACATGATGCCTGCTCTGATACCAATTGAAATTCTGGAAGGTCAGGACTTCAGATGTCCTATGACATGTTGGGACATGTGATCTGACTTAAACAACACAAGCAAGGTATAAACAATAAAAACATTACTAAAAGCATAAACAACACACAAAAATTGTTAACCCAATTTAGAGAAAATCTCCTACTCTGAGAGCATACCAAGCCAGGGACAAGTTACTATGATAGTATAAGTTCATAGACCCTACAACAAACATATCCGTTTAAGATATACTCACTTAATCACTACCCATACTATACTTCTATCTAAGACTCACCTAGATATGAGGCCCTCCTCAATCCCTCATTAATCACAGACAGTGATTGGACACAAATAGAAAGACACACTTCCATGACAGCAAAATAAAAGACACACTTCCATGACAATACTCAGTCAATACTTAAAGCTAAACTCCACCATTTACAACTTTACTCCTAACAAAGAACCCAACTTGGAGTTGCTTAAAATATTCCTCCAAGAACAATAATAAACTATGTGCTTAAAAGCTTAAGAGTGATAACAAAACCTTGTAATTCAAGGAACACAATCTAACTCACATGTCGAGTGGATTACACAACCAACTCTCCTAGATAATGGTACAGACTCAGTCCTAATAATTACATTTTTTCAATTCTCGACTGGTACTTTTGCCTAGGTTACAATGTTGCTTTTTATAACCTATCTCCCAAATGAATTTGGACTTCAAATCACAGCTCTTTAGCTTTTACAGTTCTGCAGAAGATTCTGCTACAAAATAGGTCTTCAATCAAATCTTTCCTAAAAAATCTCCTTATTTAGAAAGTCAATATTCTTCAATATTTTTCTTGATTCTTCTTGACCTACAAATCAGCGCCACATAATATTGCATAATATTCCCAGAATATTCTATATATGTTAAATCATAATAGAATCCAATTGTTTAGCTCAACTCAGACGCGATGTCGTATGACCCTACATAGGACATCTTATCTGACATGTTGCTCCTGATGTTGAAACACTTCAACTAAACATGTTCCTTCATAAGATAGGAATTCTTGTTCATGTTTAACAAGTTAACACATCTTATCTAACATGTTGCTATTATATTTGTTTTACTAAAATTAATGTCAATCATAAAAAAAGAGAATTAACAATCAACATTCTTGAAATACACTCCATGTTCAGAGACACTCTTTGTGAAACCTTCCTGAAAATCTCTCATATTTAGGTAGCCTTGTTGACCCAGTTCTCGTTCTAATCGATCTTCTAACATTCTTCTCAGGTGGTTCTGCACTTTGATTGGTTGTGACTTTAGTTTGTTACCCTTATTCTTCAAGCACAGTTGGGATTGTCTCTTCCATACGTCGATCCGACTCCTGAGTCCTATTCCACCCTTTGCTTTCATCAACTAGAACATCTATACTAATTACTAGTTTATCATCTTGTGGTGAATACAACTTGTATGCACTAGTCGAATGATAACCTATTAAAACCATGGTATGACTTTATTCATCTAGCTTCTTCCTCAATTGTTCAGGAACATGCCTGAAACACATTAATTCGAAAACTCTACGATGATTGGCATTTGACTTATGTCCCGTCCAAGCCTCATAAGGTGTCTTCTCGACCATATTATTTGTTAGACATCTGTTTAGAATGTATATTATTGTCGAAGATGCTTGATAAGTGAAAATTATAGCTATTGTTGTATATACTTTTTGTTGCACTTATTGACTCTTTGTTATTAATATTGGTTGAATAAACCCGACTTTTGTGTAAATACATTTAGTTTATGTATATTTGTATTTTCATGTACATAGTGTATCGTTTGATAGTTTTGTATCTATTTTATAGGAATTTAAGCATTGTTCAAACATTGAGAATAAAGTCCAAATAGAGATCCAAGATGCACTTTTGTTCAAGAATGGAATAAGGCAAAGAAAGGAAGCCATGAATAAAACATCAAGAAAGAACTATTTTGGAACCATCGCCGGGTGGTGCTAGGGCGTTGTCAGGGTGCTGTGAGCACCGGGACCGTTGCCAGGCAAAGCAGGAGCAATGTAGAAATGAGAAAATCCAGTAGCTTTTGTCTTGTGCTCGCGTCTTGGTCGTCGGGCGAGAAGTAAGGCATCATTGGGCGGTAGTTTTAGAGCGTCGGGAGGTGAGAGAGTTTTTTTTCTCCAGTTTTCCTGCGTGACACAGTCTGGGCCAAGTAATAAAAGGCAGCTCCAGGCGGTGCATTTTGAGCGTCAAGTGGTGCGTGCCTGAACAAATTTTGTTTATATTTATATTTCATTTCATTTATTAGGGTTATGGGTTTGGAGATAGTTTTAACTCCCAAATTCATCAACCCTCATTTTTCCCTAGGGTTAGTTTAGAAAACAACTATAGAGTTTGCATACAGATGATCCAGTGTGGATTGCTCTTTGATCGACGCTGATAAACCGAGATATTTGTGGTTCATTTCTCTTCTTCTTTGTGTATTCTTTATTTTTTGAGTTTGTATCTGTATTTACTTTTAACTATTTATCGCTCATGGCATTGTATAAAACTTGCTTTACAAATCTTTGTCGATTGTTGTCCTGGATTTTGCTCTGTGCTAGGTGTTTGGGTTGCTACAGACTTATACTGCTTGAAATATTATCTATGATAATTGTCTAATAGTGTCTAGATTCTAGAGATAGATTTATTGCTATTATTCACTTGGATTTCTGTGACTAATGCCTCTGTGTTGGTTGTGTCGTTCTGAGAGATCATTAACGCGAGTAACACAATTGACTTCTGTGTTATTGAAGTTGGTTGAGAGATCACCACTGAGGTGACATAGTGGGTGTTATGTTTGACACGTGATGACATTGATGAGTATTGTAGGTTGAGTATAATTGGTCGATAGGTTTAAGTCTGTGAGGATTGGATTATATGCATGCCCGATAAGTTTCTCCTTTGAAGAATACATTTATTTTCTGTTAATACCTTTTGCCTTTTCTTACAAACAACCCATTTTAAACCAAACTCATTAACGAGAGATTTTTTGAATGACAATTCAGTAGCACTAATCCCAGTGGAGACGATACGATATAACCTAAATATCACCTGATAATTAATACTTACTTTTTTCTTGCCGCTTTACTACTTTAGCACTGCTTCACCCCAAAATATCACCCTAGGGATTATTGTTTTTATTGGATCACATTGTGATAGTTTCTTTGTTTTTAATTTTTATAGATACCATATATATTGTCTATCTTCACTTGTTTATATTGATACTTGTATATGTTTATTACACTTGTACATGTTCTCTGCACTTGTGAATTTGTTATATCATTGTTTGTTTCCTTTCACGTT